GTCCTTCGCCACTGCTTCGGCCTTGGCCTTGGCCTCGGTACACGCTGACGCTACGCTTCCGTTTCCGTTCGTGTCTCAGCCTCCGCCTTCGCTTTTGATTTCGCTCGCGCCTCCGCTGCAATCACCGCTGTTGGCTTCCGCTCGGCGCGGGCGGTCACCTTCGCCTGAACTTGCGCCACCGCTTGAGCGGCTACTGCTGCCTTCGAAGCGGCCTTGGCTTCTGTCTTGGCGATAATCTTCAATTCGGTATTGGATTCCGTTGAAGCTCCCGATTTCGACGATAAACTGCTGCTGCTGAACGACGAGGACGAAGACGACGACGACGACAAGGAAGACGAGTAATTCCTCACGTAGAATTTCCGCCTGACGGAGCTATTCACGCTTGACTCCACCGAAGTCTGCGTCTTCGACAGGGTATCTAAGATGTTTGCCAACGCATCTACGTTCACGTAAGTTCCGTCATTTTCCTGCAGGAGACCCGTTAAAATCGCGGCCGCGTTGGCGCTCGCCGAAGAGTCTCCATGTCCGATCGTCTGTGCAGCCACTTGCGACTGCACCTGCGATTCCGCCGAAATTACCGTTTGCTTGGCTGCTGATGAACGCGTCGCTGGAGGAAGTGGCGAACGAATTTTGACCCAGGTTGCTGACGCTCGCAAACGAACCGGCTGAAGCATCGCGTCAACCGCGATGATTGTGTCGGGTTGAGATCCTGATAATTATTAATTTATGTACTCGTTACGGGTGTCTCGCACACGACTTTGATGTGAAATGATAACATTGAAACGTCGACAAACTCGTTCAAATAATTTATTAAAAAAACTGTTTGAGAAATGTCATCAAAAAATATGAACTAGATTTTTATAATTTTCCTCGAAAAAAATTAAGAAATTAAATTTCCATCATTTTTTTCAATACTTTTCAATGTTGCCAAATAAAATACATTTGTGCATAGTTTATAGTGAATCATAATGACCACAATTGGGAACATTTTGCAAGATGCATGGAGCGAACGAGTGCCGAGTCGGGATGCGAAATGTTTGATCAGCATATCACTGAAATACAGGACGTTGAGCCTATATGAAGTTAGCCCCCCATTTTTCGATTTTGAATATTTTTTTAGTTGTTCCAGGTTGTTCTACGTTTGTTCTATATTGTTCCAAAGTTATGAACAAAAAAATCGAAAAACATGACGGGAAAAGCAAAAAAACGATTTATTTTTGTGGCCACCCATTTTTTTTTAAATTCAAATTTTTTTGCTGTTCTGGATTGTTCTAATTGTTCTAAACATTGTTCTAAAATATTAATCCCCTAAAAAAGAATTTAAAAAGATATAGCAAAAAATAGCATTAAGCGTCCAAATAGTATTTTTACATTTATCGCTATTATTATA